TCCAGGTCTTACAGAACATTTATTAAAAAAAAAAATTTAATTATATGCTTGTTTTAGAGGCATATTAGACAAAAACCGTTATTATATAAAATGTCCACACAAAAAGCCCTGTTGGAATTTCAAAAACACCGACTAGGTAAGCTTATAAAAGTCACCTGGAAAACGGCAGACTATAAAGCAAAGCAAAGTAAACAAGGGCTAGAGAGATGGCTCAGCAGTTAGAGTTACTGGCTTCTCTTCTAGGGCGCTGGGGATTTGATTCCTTGAATCCACATGGCTGCTCACAACCATCTGTAAATCCAGTCCCGGCAGATTTGTAGCCCTCTGGCCTCCCCGGGCACCAGGAACACAAATCCTGCACAGACATACACACAGACAAAACACCCATGGACACGAAATAAACAAAAACAAATCTAAAATGTAAACGCTTCCTTCTCAAATGTGTACTCAAGAGAAAATTATTTTTGCTACCAACGATGAATGTATTTATTCTAATCTAAGCTAGCTTTTGTCCTTCTTAACTAGCAACAATGCACAAACACATTCACACTCGTGCACGTGCATGCATGTATGTATGTATAATGTACTTCGGATGGCGCTCAGTTGGCGGAATGATCGCCCAGAATGCACAAAGCTTTGGTTTGATTAGACCCCAGAAACTCATAAACTCACCTGTAATCCTAGCAAAGAGGTAGAGGCAGGAGGATCAAAAAGGAGCAGAAGTTCAAGGCTACCCTGTTACACACAGAGTTCGAGGCCAGCCTAGGACGTGAGATCCTATCTCCATTCAGTCAGAGGCTGGGGACATCACTCAGTAGGTGAAGTGCAGACAGGAGGAACTAGTATCCTAAAACCCGAGGGGCTCCACATGTTATACCCAAGTCTCGCAGACCCCAAGGACCACTGAGGAGCTTATTCTGATGCAAGCAAATGCAGTAGCGTCTCTTTTTATTACAAGCTGGAGCTCAGGCCCACACCATCACTGATGCAGTGGTTCTGGAGTGTAGAGCCCGGGTTCAGGGGAAGGAGGGTTTTTATCTGGGTTGCAGAGAGGTTTGGGAAATTACAGTTTAGCAGTTACACAGTTGGATGACACTCAGCAAGGGCAAGCTTGCTACAAATTGATTGTGGCTAGCTAACAACGAGCAAGCTATCTATAGACCTCAGGAATGTTAGGTATTTCCATGCCTTATGCTCTACCACCAGGCTGGTGGACTGCCCAGACATATGCCCCACCCTGAGATAAGATACCTTCCCATTCTTGTGGTTACCTCCAGGCTATTCCTTGGGTAGGAAATTTTATCGTTTTTTTCCTGGACTTGGTGACCTACGGCCTAGTTCCAGAGCTTGGTGACTTTGGGGTGGGGGTCAGGCCTGGTTCTCTCAGGTACATCTGTAAGGGATTTTTCTTGACTGAAAAATTTTGAGGTGGGAAGAGACACCCTAAATCTAGGCCTCATCTTCTGGTGGCAGCCAAATAAAAGGACATGAGAGAGGGAAGTTCTTGCTCTTTGCCTGCTTGCCCTTGCTCTCAACGGAAAGTTTACCTTTTCACTGGTATTAGAGCCCACAGCTGAGCCATCTAGCCTCATGACTTCTTAGAGTTTCCATCGGGAGACAGCCATTGTTGCATTAGTTCGACCATAACCTGTTAGACATCCTAATAAAGCCCACTTTTATATAAGTAGATTCTTTAGATCAGTATCACGTCTCTGTAGAGCCTTGACTAATAAAATTGCTAAGTCCCTCAAGCTCTTCAGGCTGCAGCCTATCTAAGACTGGGTCCACTCCCTGCATGAAGCTCTTTTTGGCAGATACCTCATGGCTGTGGCATCTCCTACTTGTTGGGGTCTCCTTTGTGACCCACACTTCACCTTCACAACTTCACACAATAGTCTCTCAGGGCCTTCAGGCAGGGACTGTCCTACCACACACTTGGCTTCAGTGATCTTTGAAACCAGGGGAAGAATCTATAACCCCTTTACTCATCCAGCCTTTGTATCTCTACAGCCAGCAGAAATAAGACCGTTGCTGGCTTGGTGGCCAGCTAGGGATGGACCACAGCCCATTTGAATCACAGTAGCAGCAGTTTCTGTACCCAGTTGCTTTTTCAGAGCAGGGGCTCTTTCTAAGATTGGAAGCTTAGCTTTGTGGGAGTCCCTTTCCAGGAGGGCACCCTAACCTTTGTACCAGGGAAGAGCAGACAGCCTCTCCTTAACTGTGCTAATCCCCATAACGATTAGAAGCCTCTCAGCATAAGCCCCGGCTTCAAAATTAAGCTTTCTAGTGGTCTTTTCCTCCTCAAACTGTGTAGTTAGTATTTATTTCTGCCCCTTTTCCATTGTAGACCTATATAAGCTTTATCTGAAATAAACAAGCCACAGACTCAAACGCCTGCAGTCTTGACATTTTCTTTGCTTAAGGAATTTGTTTAGTACTCTTAAATCTAGCCTCAGGCAAGTTCTTAGGACATATACAGAAGGCAGCTAGATTATTCACCAAAATATTATGTTGTGGCGTGTGATTCCACTGGGAGAAACCAAAAACTTAGGCTCAATTCAAATTTAGATTAAATGAATTTAATCTTACTGCCAGGAGAAGGTGGGCAGCCTTAGAGCCAAACAGCATGCTGTGTGGAAGTGGGAGTTAAGGTGGGGTCTTAAGGTGGACATCAGAAAGGTGTGGGTTACATCTACCCATGGAACCCACAGCTGGGCAGGAAAATTGCTGTTTCTTCCTTTCTTCCTATACAGTAATAAAAAGACCATTTCATTCCTTTCCCTGTGATAAGCAGACTTTACAAAGGCAAAGGCAGCTGTTAATGCCTCACAGCTCATTACCCTATTCTATTGTATTAAAAAAAAAGTGTTGGGCTCTGCAATGTTTATTATTATTTGACCAATAATTATTGTAGTGGTATTATCTAACCTGCTATCACAAATAATCCCAGTTATGGTCTTGGCCTCTATCCTCGGTTCTGGCTAGTACTTAATAAAGCTTGCTTCAAATGTGGCTCAAAAATTGTGGTAGTGGTCTCATTCTTTCCTGTTGGAACTGTCACCTGGTTTCCCTTTGGAAGCACTGGAGCTGGCCCTCCAAAACCCACACTGCTCTGAGCACTACCATCTTGCTGGCTTCTACTAGGATGGCTCTGCATACAGCATCCAACCACTTTTCTAGTCCAAAGCCCCAACATGGTCAGGTCCTTCACAGTAACAGCCAATCTCTGGCAGTTAACACTGTAAGAGTCACTTTTCTGTGAAAAAAACACCATGACCCAAAGCAACTTATAGAAGAGTTTATTTGGGCATACAGATCCAGAGGGGTGACAGTCCATCATGGCCTGGGGGCATGGCAGCAATGGCAGGCAGTGTGACAGGGGCAGGAAGCTGAGGGACAACATCTTCAATTGCAAACAGGAAGCAGGAGGCAACCCAGAAGTGGGGCAAGGCTATGAACCCTCAAAGCCCGCCCCCAGTGAAGTATTTCATCCAGCAAAACTGACCTCTCCATAACCTGTCCAAACAGTGTCACCAAAAGGGGACCAGTGTTCAAATGCCTGAGCTTATGCAGGGCATCTCATTCTAACCATCACAGTAACTATGATATTGAATGCCAAACACACACATAATTCCCATATGCTTTCTCATGTTCTCTACAGGCCTTTCTGTTACTCCTTCCTGTGCTTGCCTCTGAGCAGTTATTGGTTTATCAATTCTTTGTTGGGGATGGGATACAAGTGGAACCTTTCTTTGCCCATTTTCTTTTAATCTGAGAGTCACTCATGTTCTATGCACCGAAAAGCCATTTCTTTTTCACAAGAGATTTAAAACTTTATTTATTTATTTATTTATTTATTTAAATTTTATGTACATTGGTGTTTGACTACATGCAGGTATATGTGAGGGTGTAGGGTCCCCTGGAACAGGAGTTACAGAGAGTTGTGAGCTGCCATGTGGGTGCTGGGAATTGAACCCGGATCCTCTGGAAGAGCAGTCAGTACTCTTAACCGCTGAACCACCTCTCCAGCCCCCATTTCCTTCTTTAAGATTTATTTTATTTTTATGTGTATGTGTGTTTTGCCTGCATGCACACAGGCATGCACCACATGCATGCCTGGTGTCATGGATCCCCTGGAGCTGAAGTTACAGAACAGAGTTGCCAGCTGCCAGGTGGGTGCTGGGAATTGAAACCAGGCCTTCTATTAGAGCACACAGTGCTCTTAATCCCTGAGCCATCTCTCCAGCCACCCAAAGAGCCATTTCTAAGTAGTTGATACAGTTTCTGTATCCATCCTCTTTTGACATTTGGGTGTTTTAGTTTTTGGTTAATACAAACACAGCTGATGTGAATATTTGGTGACAAAATCTTATCAGCATTTGTTTCCTCTTCTGTTGAGCAAGTTCTCCATCCAGTTGATGCTGTGGGTGTGTCTTTCTGCTCCCGGAACTCCTAAAATCTTCTCCACCTCACCCCACTTACAAACCATACACATTTGAGACACAAAACCCGTGATTTACCAGGACTTTCAGAGAGAAAGCAAACTGTATAGCCTACAAGGTTTTGGAAAGACACCCCACCTCCCCCATGCTCCCTGAGACAACAGCCTGCTTAGGCCTGACTGCCCACTCTCTGGTCAATGTCTCAAGTTCTCAGAAGAAGCTGACTTTGCTGACTACTCTCCACGAAGCTGTCCATGTCACTGAGCAGCAGCAGCTTTTATGTTTACTTGGTTCACTCGCCCCCACCCCCAAACTCTTGTGGCGATCGTCCCACTTAGAACTCTGTCCTTACCTCCAGGAAGGCCTGAAACTTAGGCAGGAGCTCCGCCAACCTCCTCCCAAGAGGTTCCTGCCAAAGACCCTCAGTTGGCTTTCCTGGAGCCATTCAGGCTGTGCATCTCGAACTCGCTGTCTGACGGCCGGTAATTCGTACACCAACCCAGTACTCCCAACCCTCCGCTCCGCTCCGCCCCGCCCCGCCCCGCCAGTCTACTCTGCTTTGCCTCTGGCTGTTGTGCCCCGCCCGGGGGGTTCGGTTCCATTCTCAGGGATCCATTCTCATCAGGGACCCACCCGCCTTGTTTCTTGGCGGTGCACTCTGCTGGGTTCTCCTACGTTTGTCCCCGTGCTCTTCGTCCGCACCCTCCCAGCAGAGCCTGGAGCGTTCCGTCCACCCGAACGCTTTCCGCCGCCGCGGAGTCCGCTGCGCCTTCTGCGGAACTCAGACGTCGTAGACGTGTTTCCAGAGGAGTGGGTTCGCCGTGCTATTTGGGACTTCCGGAGCTTGCGGCGGCCGCTTCTGCGCATGGCGGTGAGCGGTGGGAAGAGGCGTGTTTGTAGCGAGGCCCTGCGGGTGGACCGGGTGGCATGTGAATTTCGTCCTGTCCCACGTTTTTCAGGAGCTAAGACTCCCTGCCCGGGAGCCACTAGCAGCCCCAGGCCGGAGAACTAAACGCGCTCCGCGCGGACCCCGGCCCCCCCCCCCCAGCTTCCGGTGCCTCGGATCCTCCCCTTCGGAGTTCAGTGCAACCTGTATGTGACTCCGCCACTAAGGCACATCCCGTAGGCGCCTCAGCGTCGATGAAGCAAAAGAAGAAGAAAACCCCGAACAGGGTCTCTGGAACAAATGGAGACCAAAAGACCTCCGAGAAACCGGCCCCAGACGAAGCTCCCCCCAGTGCTGAGGCCCAGGCAAGGGTGGTATTCCCTGTGAGCTTTCTGGGTGCTAACCCGCCTGAACGTGCGGAATTAAGGCACTGAAGGGATGGGAGTGGAGTCTGCGGGATCCTGATGCTTATCTGTGTCCTCCTTTCCATCACAGGCAGAGCAGCTGGCTCGGGAGCTGGCCTGGTGTGTGGAACAGCTGGAGCTGGGTCTCAAGAGGCAGAAACCCACCCCGAAGCAGAGTGAGGGGCCCTTCTTTACAGTTAGGGAAATGTAAATGGTGGCAGTGCTGTGGTCTGATGGTGTTGCCAAGAGGGGGGATTGTTGCTTTTTTTTTTTTTTTTTGAGGTGGGGGTTTCACTGTATAGTCCTGAAACTCTGGCTTGGAACTCCCGGAGATCCACCTGCCTCTGCCTCAGCCTCCCGAGTGCTGGGATCAATGGTGTGTTTGAAGTCACCAGCTCTTTATTTTTATTTGCAGAAGAGCAGGCGGTAGGGGCAATCCGAACCTTACGCAGTGAAAAAACTCCCTTGCCCCGGAAGAGACAGCTGATGCGGTCCTTGTTTGGGGACTACAGGGCTCAGATGGATGCGGAGTGGCGGGAGGCCCTGCGGGCTCTAAAGGCTGGTGAGAAGCTTCGAAGGGATTGAGTCAGTACATCTACTTCAAGGAGGTAGAGAAGCTTAGCTCAGCAGGGTTGGTGCAGGAGGAGATGGGCTCAGGGAAAACGCATAAGCAGGGAGAAAGTATATACGTGTCGGGGCGGAGGTCCTGGAAGAAAGAGCGCCCAGGTCCACCCCTTATTCTGCTCATCTGCCTTGGCTTTGGCTCACTCCTGACCACAACGCCAGGTACCAGTTGGAGTGTGGTTCCTGGAACTAAATAGCCTGGGTTTAAATGCTGTCTCTGTTTAGATCTTAACATTTTTGGTAAGTCACTCCATCTCTGTGGGTCTCAGCAGGGAATGACAGTATCTGCTTTTGTAGAAATTGTAGTTTTGAGAAATTAATTAGGAAACTTGTTTGGGCGGTTGCAACGGCATGGATAATGTTAGCTGTTACTCAGTGGCTCTCTGCTCCCCCTTCCTACAGCTCCCCATTCAGCCCAGGTCCAGCTTGTGGGTGAGGCCGCCAGAAAGAAGAGTGGAAGGGTCTGCAGGCCTCGTCCAGCAGAAAGAACAAAGACCAATCCGGACTTTACGGATGAAGAGTTCCGGTTCAATTTCTTTTAGCGTCACCTCCACTCTGGACCAGTCATCCTCCTCCGGGGTGGTGTGGAGATTTGTCTGGAGCACAGGGCCTTTCCAGGAATTCTCTTGGCCAAAGTGAGATTGGTTTGCTCCTCACTGCTGTGTGGACAGGAAGCTGTTGGCTGGTGTGAGGTTGCTGTGTGGAAACTTTTCAAGGAAATGTACCTTCTGTCAGAAGAGAGATGCAGATGGGAAATCTATGATAAGGGTGGTTGAGGTTGAGGGGGTTGTAGAAAGACATTCTCTCTCCAGTCTCCAGGAGTGGCTTTCGGTGATAAGGAACTGTGGAGAAGCTGCCTACACACAGGGCTCACTTTTGAAGGGATGCCCTGGCCATTGGTTTAGTGCTTTATCTATTGTTATGTCGCCCTGATTAATAAATCTTTTTTAAAGAACTAGGGTGATGAGTGAAAGAGTGTGCTGTCTGTGTTGGAGGAAGTGAGGTGAGGCAGGGGCTGTGCTGCTTGGTCCAGCTGTGATGTCAGGGTTTAGTAATCTGTCAGTGCCTCCTTTTTTTCTGAGCAGGTTTTCTACAGGGAGCCATTGTGGCCTCCATCAAGACACATATTATTGCTAATGAGCCAAGGAACTACTTGCCTTAAAAGATTCAGTTCAAAAAAATCTTGATGTGTTTGTGTGTGTGTGTGGGTATGAGCTTGCTAGGCACATGTGTGGAAGCTCAGTCTCTAGATTCTGTGGCAGTGGTATTTATGGCTTTGTCTGGCTCTTTAGGCCAGAAATCTGTGTCATTCTTGATTGCTGTCTTTTTCTAACACTGTGTATTCAATACTTTGTGGTAGGATAGGTTGAGGGTTAGGAGACTGAGGGTTAGTAGGTCAGGATGTTAAAATTAGCTGAGGGTCAGGGGTTCTGTCTGCTTCTGACATTAGGGTTATGCTTATTAAGATTTATTTAGAATTCTGTCTCTGTCAAGATGATCTTACTGTTGTGTAATAGTTTAAAAATATTTTTATTTTGTGTGCATGGGTTTTTTGCCTGCTTGTATGTATGTCTTCCATATGTTGCTTGGGTTTGTAGAGGCCAGAAGAGGGTGTTGGATTCTTTGGAACTGGAGCTACATGGTTGTGAGCTGCCATATGGCTGCTGGGAACCGAATCTGGTCCTGTGTAAGAGCAGCAAGTGCTCTTAACACCTGAGTCATCTCTCCAGTTCCTACAAGAACTACATTTTAAAACACAGTACTGCTATAGCTGAACTTCTGGCTTTTCCTTACCTTGTAGCCTATACCAGCGAGGACAGAGGGACTAAAAAGGGGATAGTTTGACCTCTTCCCTTCAAGATCATCCAGATCTCAGGGGACAATGGGTATCTCTCAAAATCTCCCTCCCTCTCTCTCTCTCTCTCTCTCTCTCTCTCTCTCTTTTGTTTCTTTGTTTTCAAGACAGGGTTTCTCTGTTGGCTGTCCTGGACTCACTTTGTAGACCAGGCTGGTCTTGAACTCATAGGCAAAGGCCTGCCTTTGCCTGCCTAAGTGCTGGGATTACAGGCATGTGCCAGCTCACCCAGCTTGTTTGTTTTTGTTAAGACAGGGTTTCCCTATATAGCCTGGGCTATCCTATAACTCACCCTGTAGACCAAGCTAGCCAAAGTCAGAGAGCCACGTGCCTCTGCCTCCCGGGTGCTGGGATTAAAGGTGTGAGTCAGCACCACCTAACAACTTGAATGCTTTTAAATCACCAAAGATTAAAATTATTGATAAAATGCAAAAGTAAAGTAGACTTTAAAGGGGACAAACAAATCTCAGCCTAAAATATGCCTTCCCACTAAATCCTGTGTCTGAGCCACTGACATGCCTTGTAAAACAACCTCAGGTACCTCATCTATAATACAGAAATGAACTTTTTAGACAGTTTATCCAAATCTATCAGTAATTGTAGCTCCACATGCTCTGGTTTTCTTTTGTTGTTGTTTGTTTGTTTTTGAGACAGGCTTTCTCTGTGTAGCCTTGGCTATCCAGGACTCACTTTGTAGACCAAGCTGGCCTCGAACTTACACTGAGCTGGCTGCCTCTGCCTCCCAAATGCTGGGATTAAAGGTATGTGCCACCATGTCCGGCTTGATCTGGTTTTCTTAATTTTCTTTTGACACTTGTTATTCTATGGGTACAACATAAGATTGTCTTCCTTTTCTTCTGTCTCAACCTTCAAATTATTCTTTGTATTAAGCTACATTATCTTGTGTATATGATGCTTTGCCTGCATGTATGTCTGTGTAACATGTGTGTGCCTGATTCCCACAGAGGTCAGAAAAGGTCATCAAAGCTCCTAGAACATGAGTTACAAATGGTTGTGAGCTACCATGTGGGTGCTTGGAATTGAACTTGGGTCCTTTGTAAGAGTAGCCAGTGCTCTTAAGCACCCTTAAGCCATATTTCTTTTTCTCATATATTACTTCCCAACTACAGTCTCACTTTCCCCCGGTCTCTTCCAGCCACCTTCTCTCTCCCCCAGGCTCACCCCCCTCCCCTCTGTCTCGCTTCAGAGCAGAGCAGGTCTCCCAGGGGCATCAACCACACTTGGCATAACAAGCTACAGTAAGACTGGGCATATACCATTACATCAATTACGATTCATCTTTTTCCATTTATTTATTTATTCATTCATTCATGTATGTATGTATGTATGTATGTATGCATGCATGCATGCAGTGTTCTGTTTGCATGTTCACCTGCACACCAGAAGAGGGCACCAGATCTCATTTTAGATGGTTGTGAGCCACCATGTGGTTGCTGGAAATTGAACTCAGGACCTCTGGAACAGCAGCCAGTGCTCTTAACCATCAGTGCCTATCAGCCATCCCTCCAGCCCTTAAGATTTAATGTAATATCACCAATATGATTAAAAAAAAACAACAACACAATCCAAGGAACTATATTGAAGGATGGCTTTTCTAAAGCAAACATGGCCATGGCTTTCCCTGCTCTCACCCTTTCTGTGGTCACTGATGGGTACAGTCCTATTACTCTTAACCTCCTGCATTTTATTCCTTAAGATTTGTGTCTTCTTGGGCATGTAATTGTTTCAAACTCAACTGCCAGGGATTCCAGCTACTGGAAGTATGAAGGTATGGAGTTATGAAGCCTGCTCTTCAGTAGATGAAATAGGGGGTGTGTCCCTCTTAGGCAGAGGCCATGCTCATCATCAGTATGAAAGTGGTAACAGAAGATCATTTGATCATCACTATCATAGTCTGACTTTCTTTTACTGTGATAAGCCACTCATTGAAGGCAACTTGGGGAGAAAAGAGTTTGTCTTTCATGTCCTTACTGTTGTCCAGCACTGAGTGAAGCCAAGTCAGGAACCAGAGGCTGGAACTCCAAATAGGCCATGATGGCAGTGGGCCGGGCATTCCATATCAATCATTAACCAAGAAAATGCCCCTACAGATTTGTCTGTAGGCCTGTCTGGTGGAGGCTTTCTTTTCTTTTCCTTTTTTCTATTGGAGTTACTTTTTCCCAGATGACTGGCTAGTGTTAAGTTGACTGACTAGCTAGCACAATTGACCTCTTGTCAGCCTCACACAAATACATCATTAACAAGTCATAACCTTCTCTCTTTTATCTCCAAGTTCTCATGTTAACATTACAATGCATCAGTTACCCTATTAAAGTTAACCACAGAGAAAGCACCAGAGTGAGTCAGATGTGTGAAGAATGAAATGAAGCAATTTCTGAAATTAGTTTGACTAAGAGTGACCTCAAATTCAGTTCATTTCTTTTTGTGTGTCTGTGATTACTATTTGCAATTTGTCTGATCTGTCTGTCCCTATTGCCTGTATCTGTTTTGTGTTTGTCTGAGTATCTGTCCTCTGCATTTCTTGGAACAGCACAGAAAAGAATATGGGAAAGGAATCTTTTTGTTTGTTTGTTTTGATTTGTTTTCCAAGACAGAGTTTCTCTGTGTAGCCCTGGTTGTTCTGGAATTCACTCTGTAGACCAGGCTGTCCTCTAACTCACAGAGATTTTGACTGCCCCTGCTTCCTGGGTGCTCGGATTGAAGTGCCGATAGTACCTGACAGGAAAGGAATTCTTCACAGAAGTTATTTTTGTTTTTGTTTTGGATGAGTCTCAGCATGTATCCCTGACTGGTCTGGAACTCACTCTGAATTTCAGAACGTCTCAAACACACAACAGTCTACCTGTTTGGTGAGGCAAAGAGGGGCAGTTAATTCTCCAGTGTCCTTATTCATAGGTTGGTCAGGATCATGGTAATGGGCAGGCATGGGGCAATTGTTTGCCCAGTAGTTAGTGTTACCAAAATCCAGCCGAAACTGTCAGTGCCTCATTGTCTTAGGAGACCTTAGGACTGGCTCTAGGAGTTGGCATTTTTGTCTTTCAGAGGAAACTTTTATTATTAGTAAACATTTTTGAGACAGGGTTTCTCTGTGTAGCCTTGGCTGTCCTGGACTGACTTTGTAGACCAGGCTGGCCTCAAACTCAGAGATCTGCCTGCCTCTGCCTCCCTGAGTGCTGGGACTACAAGTGTGCGCCACAGTGGTTGCCCTGCTATTAAACATTTTAAATGCCATATTCAGCAGACCTCTGAGGAGTTTGAGGGCCATTGTCTAATTTATTGAGTGTACCTGATTTTAAACAAGTTTTGAGACAGGGTTTTTCTGGGTAGCCTTGCCTGTCCTGGAACTCACTTTGTAGACCAGGCTGGCCTGAAACTCACAGAGATCCACCTGCCTCTGCCTCATAAGTGCTAGGATCAAAGGCATTTGCCACCACACCTACCTACTCCTTTAAAACAACAAAAAGCCTTTTTAAAAGAAAAACAAAAATTTTAAAGTTGATTTTAAATTACAGACTTGCAGTAGTAGCAAAATAAGATGTGTTGATTTTTTAACTGTCAACTAAAATTTTAAGCTAACTTTTGGTTATAGGTTTTGCATGTTTTTAACCATATTTAATAAACTTAAAAGGTTTTTTTGTCTTGTTTTTGTTTTTTTGAGATAGAGTTTCTCTGTGTAGCACTGGCTCTGTAGAACCTGGAACTTGTTATGTAGGTCAGGCTGGCCCCAAATTCAGAGATCTACCTCTGCCTCTGCCTCCCAGATGTTGAGATTAAAGGTTTGTACCACCACAACCAGCTAAACTTAGAAATTTTAAGGAACAGAAAGCTTACACAACAGCCTGACAAATCTTTTTTTTCTTTTTTAGTCTGATAAACCTTGAGATAAAGTTATATTTTAGTGAAAGTTTCAGAGCATTAAATAAAATCAAGAAAAAAAGTACGAGATGAGCAACAATTTTTTTAAATTAAATTTATTTATCACGTATACAATGTACACCTGCATGCCAGAAGAGAGCACCAGATCTCACTATAAATGGTTGTGAGCCACCGAGTGGTTGCTGGGAGTTGAACTCACAACTTCTG